AGCAAGGCTGCCTGTGCCCTGCGTTGCGATGGCCCCGTATCGCCGCCACTCATCCTTTCCCCGTTATTAAATGTTCCCCTCCCGGCAGCTGCAACAGGACCCCAGTGTTTGGCGGTCACACAGTGCCCTCTTTGTGGAGCGGCTCCGGTTTCGGCGGTGGTGGCGGGAGGGCCGCCTGCCCGCGCCGTGAATGCCGCCTCTCTCGCACCTCTCGGCGTAACGTTGCAGGCACCGTGAAGGGGGCTTCTGTCTGCCCGCCGCCTGACGTGAGGCCAGCAGGGAGACAAGGAAGCGGTTATTCCTGCAGGAACGGCCAACGTACCTGCGAGGGTCCCGGGCGGCTGTGGGGCCTGCCGTGCACGTCGTGCCTTGCTGTGAGTGGCGCGTAGTGCCCACAGCCTTCGGGAGAGCTGGCGCTCTTTTCACCTCACTGCGGGGGATTTCTTCCAACGGGGAGCGCGAGAAGCTGGTTCCCCCGCAGCAGAGTTGGGATGTTTCCCTCTCGCTGTTAGCCAGCCCCCAGTTTGCAGGAATGTCCTGCACAATAGTCCCTGGTGGGTATTGTGGATGGTGCTGCTGGCTCCGAGCCCGCAGGTAGCACCCAGCACTGTCAGTGGCTGCCGTGGCGCGCGCGGGGCTGTGAGGGACACGGGGCAGAGCCCCAGGCCTGGCACGGCTCTCCCCAAGGGGCAGCGCGGCCCCCAGCGCCGGGCTGCGTGTGCAGCGAAAGCCGCCTGTGCTGTGGGTTTAGGCGCTGATGGAAAGGCCACCTCTGGCACACCAGCCCTGTGGGTCGTGTGTCCCGGCCTGGCGGTGCCTGGTGCAGGAACAGGGGCTGGCACGGAGCGAAAGGGGCCCTGCTTTTAAAATGCAGGATGCAGCTGAAGAGGCAGGTTATTTAGAGACACTTGTCTAGAAGATCGTTTGAATCATTAGAGAAGTTCTTCAYGTACCTTGTCCAGAGATGACTCTTCTGATACCTCTGCACCTCAGCAGGACTCGCAGCCTCCTGTTTTATCTGCAGCTCCAACAGTGAGCTTTGTGGGGTCAAGGACAGTCATTCCAGCCTGTACAGGCCCAGCACAGGACACCTCAMGTCTAAGCTGTTGCTGGGGTGAGATGCAGATATCCCTGAACACCTTTGCAACTTACACTGGCAGGCTTGTTTCCAGTGACAGGCACTGCACATGTGTGCTTTGACAATGTGAAGGATGGCATCAGTGCTAGATCATCTGAAAAGGCCAGTTGTAGATGTCTCCAATTGGGCATTTTAAGTTACTGCACACGTTTTAGCCTTAATCTCTCTGTGACTCAGTTGAATCCCTAGAAGTGCTGTGGAAGGAGGTTCCTTCAGACTGGGGGAGCATTTTGATTCCGCACTAGCAGGGAGGTAAGCAGCTCCCTGGGAGCAGGATTTGAATCACCTGTAGTAAAGAAGCGAGGCAAGAGGAACAGCAGAACACGGCCTAGCCGCCTGGTTGAGGAAGCCCCTGCATGCTGCCTGCTTAATGACGAGTTCAGGTTTTGCAGACACATTGTCAGTGTTACGACAGGCTCATTTTTGAAATGTATAGCATGTGCAAAAGCACACTGAATAAAACTTGGGCAGTTATTTCTTAGTACCTCAGTGCTTTTAATACAATTTGCATGTGCAGTTTGATGATGCTAGTGCATTGTATTTAATAGCTGTAGCCAACATTATGCTAAGCACCATGTGGCCTGCCCCAGTGACATACTGCCTGGTCCCCAAATGCCCAGAGTTTGTGAACAGGTAGATGGGGGGGAATATTTTCTATTTGAAGTCTTGTTGCTCAATAGATCTCTGAAGTCCTCAGGGAAGTTTGGCTGGTGAAGGGGGCTAGCAGCTGGTATCATTAATGTAGCTGTGAACCTTGAAGACAGGGTTTCAGAGCTTGAGAGGAGATTTACTTACCTGTTTATTTTGTAACAACCAAGATGATCATCTCTAGGATGCGTATTTTCATAGCCACTGAATCCCTTGTTTTATTTTTTTTTTTGTATCTGAATGATTTGCATATAATCATGGCCATATAATATTGTCCTATTCATATCCATCTAGAATACAGTCACCATTGTCACTTTCTTACCCAGTTCTTTTGGATTCTGTCTCAATTCTCCCGCTCTTCCTCCTGAATTATGTCAGCTCTAAGCTACTTCCCTTTGATTTCTAGACCCTGCTCTTTACATATCACATCTCCTTTGGTTTGGAGAAGTCATTTCTCTTCAATGGCCTTTTGGGCCAGCTTCCCCTGCCTTTCATTTCAGTATTTTGCCTGCACCTTCTTGCTTGTTCTGATCCTTCTGTTAAACCTGCGTGTCCGTTCCTTTCCAGACCATTCTGTCAGAAAGGTGGTTGTCCTGAAGGGTGTGCTGGGGGTGTCTGCATGCCCACTATTCTGYAGTCACCTGCACGTGTGCTTTATTTGTTTGTTTTTCCCTTCCCTCATCTGCCTGGTTTTGTGCAGCCTTCTCAAGGGGCTTGGGACAAGGGCTGGCACTTTGTTCTGCTGCCCTACTGCCTGGTGCAGTGCACTAAGGCTCTTACGGGGTATTGAAAGAATACATTAAAAGCAATTTTGAAGTAATGTCAATGGACTGTGTTCCAGAATAGGAGGAAAAGGAGTGGAAATGTCACTCTAGTTCTCTCGGATAGCAGGAGACATTCCCAGGGACTTCAGAAACTTGAATGCRTCAATGGAAAGAAAATTGTTGTGCAGCTGTGACCATGCTAGTGAATGTGCATCACGGGCTTGGGAAAGAAGGGGAGAGCAGAATATGAAGGAGAGATTCAATCCATGTGTCGTTCTGTCCCTTCTCACAGTGCTGCTCATCTGGAATGACAGCTGCCATCATGCATRTGAGAGTGGCAATGTCAGGAAAAGAAGATGCATTTCTTCTAAGTAATCCCAGTCTGCAGCATGTTGCTAACTCCAGTACCATCCATAACCCCGGGAACCGGTCAGACTGGCTTTAATGCCTAGAATAACTAGAAGTTGTGCATGCAGATCTAAGTGGTGATGGCAGGGACATCAGGGTAACCCGTGAAGTCGCCTCCCAGGGGAGTAAAATGAGGAGCTCAAGGCCACCATATCTTGCTCTGTTAGAGCGAGATCACCCTTACAAGTCTGGGCACGRGAAATGATGATCATCCCAAAAGATGACCTTAATGGATGGGCCCTTCTTCGTGGGCAGCACCCAGCCACCAAGCGTTGGGACGCTGCCGTGCCAGGGGTGCTGGGTGTGCAGGCAGAGGTACCGCGGCGGTGGAGGCCTTATCTGCCTGGTGTGCGTGCTGCAGCCAGGGAGGCCGCTGATCTGCTGCGTGCTTCCTTGCCATCAGTAGGGAGGGGACTCCGTGTTCTTGGGTTTGAGAGGGACGGGGAGGGCTGAGAGAGAGCAATGTCCTCTCTCCTGAGCTAATGTTTAAACAATACTACCTCTGCTTTTTTTTTTTTTTTTTTTTTTTTTTAGAAAATGCTATTTTTTTTGTACTTGTGACTGGAGCTCAGACGTTTACGAGTCCGATCTGCTGACGCGTCAGTGTAGTGGGCAGCCCCTGCTGTACCGCTGCTTCCTTGGCAGAGCTGGGCTTGCTGCCCCGCAGCTCCTGATTACAGGATATGTATTTTCGTGTTTAATTCCTCGGGGTGTCCTTGCTCAGATTACCTCCTTGCTCGCCGGCGGCGGAGGCAGGTCCTGCCGCAGCGTCAGTGCCGGCACCGGGACGTGCGCCCTTCTCCGTCCCGTCACTCGGCCCCTGGCGAGCGCCTGTGCTCGCAGCAGCAGCAGCAGCAGTGTGGAGGCTGCAGCTCTGTTTTGCTCTGCTTGGCAGTTTGCAGGATTACTCTGGTAGCATCTTGCAGGGTGGGGAGACRAGCGAGGCTCCTTCCTCACCTTTCTGGAAGGCGCAGAGCAAGGCAGTGGGTTGGCACCTCTCTGTTTAGGGAAGGTGCCTCTTGCAGCGCGCACCAAGGCACAGCCTCGAGCCGTGGGATTTGTCCCTGGAATGCAGTACAGCCAGTGCAGCCTACTCTCGACGTGCAGGAGAGAAGCAGGTCTTAAACTACRGAGCGCTTAGTTGCATTGGGTTTTGTTAAGAGAGATTTGCAACAGCCAGTACTCATCTGTGCATCCACAYGGTAAAAACTGGGCCTGTTAGTAACTTTGCAGAACTGCTGTAAACATTGAATCCTCCGAGTTCTCATTCCTCGGTCCTTTTTCAGACCCAGCAGGGTATCTCKCTCTCTTTTGGGCTAGCGCAACCCCTGTCTCCCCAGGGGCTGTTTTGATGGGTGCAAGTTGGGAGCAAACAGCTTGTGTGCCTGTGGCCTGGCAGCTCCTGATGGAGCAAGGCAGAGGTGCCAGCCCCRGGCCGTGTCCCGCGCTGCGCCGCCCGGCTGCTCCAGGGAGGAGATGGGCACAAGTGCCGGGGACACGGCGGCGCTGCGAAATCATGGATGCTGCTGCTTGCACTTAGGCATACTGGGTCTTGCATTTGAGAGAGTGGGGAATCCTCCTTGTTCTTCCAAAGTGCAGTCAACCTCTGCAGTGTTTGATGATAGTCAGCAGCAGAAGGAGCAGGAGTCTGGCTGAGCGCCGCTGCTGCCAGGAGGGGTGAACCCGAGGCAGCTGGTGTTAACTTGCGTCCAACGGGGCTCCCAGGAGGCTTTACCTGGAGCCTCCTTTAGTCTGGCCCTGCTCCAGGTTAGCAGCTTTTGGCAGTGCACAGTGATTAGTGCCACATCTTTCCTCACTGCTCCTCTCCATGTCCCGAGGGCAGGATTAGGTTACAGCCCTGCCGAGGCAGCACCCTTGTCTGTGCTGACAGAGAGCTGGATGGTAAGGACAGAGCTGTGCTCATAGTCTGAAATGCCTTCTGTGTTTGTTTCCCCTCTCTGGAGGAGGGATGACATTATTTTCATTTGTATCCTGTCTGCCTCTGACCTAAACACGTGGTGTCCGATTTCCTTCCTTGGCAGGTGATCTGGAAAATGAGGAATGGTGCCTGGGCTCCGAGCTGGCTCCAGCTGCCATAAAGACGGAGGCGGTGTTGGATGAGACAGCCGGCCTTACTCCCTCTGTGAGCCTCACTGTCACGGCCACGGCGCTGGAGGGGGAGCAACCTGAGCTGCACACTGATGCCCTGGTACTCACAGACTTTCAGTTCTCCTCCCTGCAAAGCCAGACACGGGTTCTCCTAAGACTCTGCAGAGCAGCGTAGCCTCCTTGGTGCCGGCGCTCGGCAAGTGGGGCCGCGTGCTGCAGTCTGCTTTAGCATTCCTTGCTGCTTGCTGCTGTGCCACTGCTGCTGTAAAAGCTYGTGGTTCACACGGCACGTCTGCATGGGCAGGTGCTAATCTCTGGCCGCACGGCCCTCTCCTTTGTGCTGCATGGTGCCAAAGTCTGGGGCTCCTCCGTGTCTGAAAGAGTTTAAACACTCTTGTGAACCTGTCCAATGTGGACTAACCCATCTGTCCTGCTGAGCTTGTGACAAACAGAATGTCCTTCCTAGTGACTTGGTTAGTGCTGCGGTGCCTGTCCCTAATCAGAATGAGACTCCTCATTTGAAATGACCGGAGAGGTTCCCTCTTTACCTGCTAAGTCGCTTTTGCCATATCTGTCAAGCTGCTGCTCCCAGGCCAGCCTGCCTGAAAGGGAACATTTATGAAGYCGTTCTGGCCACCGCTGGTGGCCCTGTCACAAGGGCTTTGGTTGTGTGTGAGCTGAAGAGAACAAGGTGCAGCAGCGGCAGGCGCGCGGAGCTCCTCCCCAGCGGAGGAAGGAGTGTGGCTGTTGGGCTGTTGTCAGTCCTYGGGACATGACACCAGGCCGGCCAGGGTGGAGCTGGGCTCTGCTCACCATGACGGCAACCATTCCCGCTCGCTTGTGGCCCAGAAATATGTGCAGCAGAAACAGCCTCAGGAGAAGCTCCAAGTGAAGCAGGACTTTCCCATAACCTGCCTGTAGCCTCATACACTGTCCCCAGTGGGTGATCTCACGATAGGCTGGGACATCGTGATATGCAAGGAGGGTACTTGGCATGAACTGCTGGCTCGCTGCCATTGCCCAGCTCATGTACACGGGCTGTTGCGGGGTGTTTGCCATACCAAGCATCCCAATGCCAGCCCGACTGCCTCGGGCACTGCTCCGGCACAGGCAGCCGGGGCAAGCCAGTGCCCCTGAGCCTTGCTCAGCCTGGCAGGCCCTGCTCCTGCCCTGCCCCAGCGYGCCTTGAGCTGGGCCTGAGGAGCCCCGCGTGGCTGGTGCCAGTGCTCCGCGTCGCTCCCGGGGCCAGTGCCCCCAGGTGCCAGTGCTCCAGGTGCCAGCGCTCCCTGCTCGGGGTGCAGCCCTGTGGCCTCCCGTTCTCACCCACCGCCTGCAGCGTTTGGTCTCCGCCTAAACCCACCACRCGGCCCAGCCAGTCCTGGCAGCGCCTGTGTTGCTAAGAGAAGTGATCTGAGTGGGTTGCACGGCAGCTCTCACTCTRAAATGTCATCGCTGAGGCATAATCTTTTATTTAGCTAAATATAGGAGTAAGAAAAGCCACAGCAAGAGGAGTCAGGGCAGTGTTCTCTCTAGCCTGGCTTAGCAAATTGTGTGGAGAARCAATTAAAGCTTTGCTTGTAGCAGAGCAGGAGGGGAGGTAAACTTCTCCATTTATGGAGAAGTAATCCTTGTATCATTCTGGTAAGGTTTTAGGATGTGTGCTCTGGGATCTCAGCCTGTTAATTTTTCTTTTCCAGATGAAACCACYGAACCAGAAAGCTCTTCCAGAGATTAAATTGGAGCCCCATGAAGTGGATCAGTTCCTGAACCTGTCTTCTAAGGAAGGTCTGTTAATTACCAACCCAAGATGCACCAAAGATGACGAGGATTAAGAATGAACATACTTTATTCTGATTTAAATATTTAGCTTCCTTTTTCTATGTGTTAATCACCAGGTTGAAGCCCTGGTCTTCTAGGGGTTTGATTCAGGTTGCTAAAGAACCCACCCTCTGTCTGACCTATTTATATATTTTTTTTCCATGCTCATCACAAAGGAAATTATCCCTTTTTTGTCTATAGCTTACTAATGATTGTCCAGTTGCTGGAGGGAGCTTGAATCCTTAAGGCATGGGGTTATTTAGTCTAGAAAGACAGGAATTTGTGGGGACTTGGTAGGATAGAACGAGGGATAGAAATTAGGAGGAGCGTAAGTGGAAACTTCTCTGGTTTAACCACTTTGCTGTGTGATAGGAAAGGAAGGATGTGAATCTATATGACACTAAAAGTTAATATGCCAAAACCAGATCTRTTTGCTTTAGTGGAGTCTTGAGAACCATCTGGGTCTCATGGGACTAGGTAATGTACAAGTAGGGAGGAAGAAAGATGATCCCTGTCCTGAAAATGTAGCACAACTTGGTGGCACATAATCTGTTAGCCCAATAACAGTTTGAGAAGATCTCAAACTCAGCATCTCGGTTAGAAATACTTCCTGTTTTATTAGTGGATTTATTTGTGTAGGTAAGTATAACTGCTCTAGGAAATGAGGAAATGGCTTGGCAGGTRAGAAAAGGGAGGATTTGTCTGGACCCAGGGCGTAGATGGGATTGCTGAGTCTGTGGCKTTAAAGGCCTTTCTGTCTCCTTAGTGTGTGTCATCCCCTTGCAACTGCTAGAGTTAAGATACTAAACCAAAAAGAGCTTGTGTAAAATTGCTTTTTTGTTGCTATTTTTCTTCTTTCCTCCTCCACCAGCCATTTGATTTTTTTCAACTCAAATTCCCCACGCATAAAAGGAGTGGAAGATRGCAAATCCAGCCCCGCATCTTCCTCCTCCCACTAGGGTAAATTTATAGCAGAGAATTAATGACTTAGTTTGGGGCATCTGTTGAATAGGGGAGACATTGCCCTGTTGCTCTTRGTTCAGACCTGTGTGGTCATAGACAGCACCGGTGTTGCCAGCTCGAGCATGGGCTCCTTGGCCTGCCAGTGCAGCAGAGCTTTGCTCGTGGCACTGGCCTGCAGAGCGTGAGAGCAGTGGCTGGGCTGGTGAGCTCCGCTGCCCCTGCTCCGTAGAATCATAGGATTATTAGGGTTGGAAGGGACCTCCAGAGGTCTTCTAGTCCAGCCCCCCTGTRCACGCAGGGTCACCTAGAGCACGTGGCACAGGGCTGTGTCCAAGTGGGTTTTGAAGATGTAGAAGCCTTCTCAGCTAATGCTGCTTTCTTGTGGCAGGGGACTGCTACTGGAGAGCTGCACATGCACCTCAGATCTTTTGAGCAGAAGCTCAGGTCTAGAAATGACTAATGACTGGAGCAGATGTGCAGAGCTCTGCTCTGTCAATAGATCCTAAAGATCCCCGCCACTACTTTTTTTTTTTTTTTTTTTTTTTTTTTTTTTTTTTTTTTTTTTTCTCTCCTTTGGGGCTCTGAGAACCTTTCGAGTTAGCACTTGCTCTGTCTTTTAGCAAACGTACTTGTGGGAGCCGGGTGGCGGGGGTGGCTCTGGTGGATGTCGGGAGCAGCACCGCAGCGTTTTGTGTCGTGTTTCTCTCTCGCCATCCAGCAGTGGATCCTCTGCATTTGCCCCCGACCCCTCCCAGCAGCCACGGCAGTGACTCTGAAGGTGGGCAGAGCCCAGCCAGGTCTCTCCCTCCATCAAGCCCAATCCAGCTACAGGCCACAGCCAAAGTGACTTCACGTGCAGCTTCAGCGCTCTCCAATTCCCCTCTCCTGACTGCACCTCACGTGAGTTGGGCTGGCCTTTTCCAGCTTTTCTTTTTTAATATAACCTCTGCAAAACTTTGGATCCAGTAATTCTAACTCAATTGTCTATTCTCTTCCTATAGTGAGTGGCCTGTGCCCCTCTTGCTAGGTTGAAACAAGGATGCACAGTGTTATGTGGCTTCTCTTATCATGGGTTGTGTTCTGCCTGAGGGCCTTCCTAGGGCCTCCTGTCCCTGGCTACTGTGTTACTGTCTTGGAAAGCAAGTGGTGATCTTTATGGAGGGATTGCCAGTAGTGCTTCTCACTTAGCCCTTTCCTCATTTGAACTTGTATAATTTTATTGTTGACTTTGGGATGTGCAGACCCAGGTCAGAAGCAATTGGTTTGGGGGAATCCTGTCCCAAACATTCGGTGTCTGAATGCAAGCTCTCTAAGAGGTCTTTACCTTCCACATACCCCACCTGCAAGGACCTGCACTAGTAGCGGGCAGAGTCCCCTCTGAAKCAGGAGAGCTGCTCTCTTCCCTCACCTCTTTCTCTCCGGGGCTCTGAGCACTCTCTCTTCACCTGTTTTGTGTCTGGACCATTTGCAGAAATTGCAGGGGACCGGCCCGCTCATCTTGACAGAGGAGGAGAAGAGGACACTGATAGCAGAGGGGTACCCAATCCCTACCAAACTGCCCCTGACAAAAGCAGAGGAAAAAGTGCTGAAGAAAATCCGCAGGAAAATAAAGAACAAGGTAAATGTTAACCTAGCAGCTTGGCTGGGTAATGTCTACTCATCCCTCATTAAAAAAAGGCTGCAGTAATTATGCAGTAATGATCTGTAGTACTGTTGAATGCTGTATGAAGGTTTTTAATACAAATGTTTGCCTTTGTTTCTAAACACATCCATCAAACTGTCTGACACTTTTTTTGTCTAGATATTTGAGCAGTAGAGTATTTAGCAAGTAGGACCATCAGTCACTGTTGTTGGGCTCCWTTCTCAAAATGGTATAATATTTTCCCTTAGGTGTAGCCCCCTCTGTTCTCTCCATGGTGATGAAGGTGTTCTTGTCCACTGTTTGAGGCTTTAAAACCTGATCTACTTCTGTGCACTTGGCTTTTGATGAATAAATTCCATAATCTCCAAATGACTGGTGTATGCCAGACTCTGAAATGCCCTTGGACTCGTCTTGTTCTCCCAAAATGGGGAAGAGCCAGTAATGGGGAGGAAAGAAGTTTTTCAGTCCTGGCCAGCGAACTTGTTCTAATGGGCGTTTGCACATTGTAACACATTCAGTTGTTGGTTTTGCAGATAAAGGTTTAAGTTTCCCTTAGCAGCAGCAATTTAGGATTTGCTGCTGCTGTGTAATTTTTCAAAATCTGTGAAGGTGTTTACCACTTTCATGGAATTGGAATCCTTTGGATTGGAGGGGATCTCCGGAAGACATCTGGTTCAATCCCTTGCTCAGGGCAGGGTCAACTTAGGTCAAGTTACTTAGGGATTTGTCCAGTGAAGGCAACCAAAGGATGTAGAATCCTCAGCCTCTGGGCAACCTATTCCCATATTCAACCAGTGGAAAAAAGGTGTTCTTASTTGGAATTTCCTGACTTTCAGGTAATATTTGATGGCTCTTGTTCAATTGCTGTATYCCTCTGAGAAGACTCTGGTTTTGTCTTCACTACTCTCTTGTGCTAGATACTTGAAGATGACAAGAGAATCCCCCCTTCCGTTTCTTTTACATCCGCACAAATTTCTCAGTTTCTCCTCATGCCGAGTGCTCCACACACTTCTCATTGTGCTCACCCTCCTCTGGCCATGCTCCAGCGTGTCCCCAATATTTACGTTGGCGTCTCGAACGGGACGCGGTGCTGGAGCTGGGGCCTTGCTCCTGCTGAGCCGAGAGGGCCGCTCCTTTCCCTCGGTGCTGGCCGCAGGCTGCTCACGTGGCCCTGGGGGCTCTTGATCTGCTTRGCTGGGGGAGCCACACGCCTCGCTCGTGTTGTGGGGGCCCATCAGGACCCCCAGGGCTTCTGCTAGCAGCTCCTTTCCACTCACAGAATCACAGAMTRKTYRAGGTTGGAAGGGACCTCTAGAGATCAYCTAGTCCAACCCCCTGCTCCAGCAGGGACACCCAGAGCACGGGGCACAGGGCGGCATCCAGGCGGGTTTGGAAGATCTCCAGAGAAGGAGACTCCACRGCCTCCCTGGGCAGCCTGTGCCAGGGCTCTGTCACCCTCACAGGAAAGACGTTCTTCCTCACATCCTGCATGCTTTCATTTTCCTGTCTCAAGTGCTGGGCTTTGTTCTTCAATCATCTTCCACTTCTTGTAGTACTTGTCCTAAGATCTTCTCAACAGATCTGCTGCTGAAGGTAAGGCCTCTAAGAGTAGGGAATGAGTCTTTTCTTGCTACTGAGAGGATTCCTCTTGCTTCAGGATGTGGAARGAGACCAACTCAGTGCTTTGCTTGCCAGGAATAGAAATAAGAATAGCACAGAGGCTTGAACTTAATAAAGTCAGGACTTTCTATCATTTTGTTAATCTGGCTTTGTTTACCTTTTCTATGCAAATATTTGGTGTTTTTCATCTTTTTTTTTTTGTCTTAGATTTCTGCTCAGGAGAGTAGAAGAAAAAAGAAAGAATACATGGACAGCCTGGAAAAAAAGTAAGCCAACCTCCTTCCTGTTTCAAACAGGCCAGTAACACCAGCTGCTGGAAAGGGATCCAGCTGTTGCTGCTGGGGCTGCTCTGTGTACAGAGAGCCAGCTGCCACCTCGTGGCTGTGCCTGAGAAAAGGCCCTGCCTTTGGCTTCTGCTTGTGCCCRTGCTGGCCTGGTGCCCACTGCAGCCCCGTCTGCCTCGCAGGCATTGCTGAAGTGCTAGCAGGGACCCTGAGACTTAAACAGGGCAGGACCCAGCTGCTGCTGGCCTCCACCCCGTGCCACTCTCATGGCCTGGTGGCGGGCAGTGTCCCTGGAAAACTAGGTTCCGAATGGAGACCTGGTGTATTCTAGTGCAAACGGAGGTAGAAACAGGGAGTGGGTGAGGTAAGAGTCTTGAGGAGTAAACGGGAATAAGGAAAACAGCCTTGTTACCCATCAGCTCCCTTTAGCAAGAAGGCCCCAAACCTGCAGCTAGTGGATTGTAGCCCAAATTAATTGTTCTTCCAAGGAGCAAGTTTTTGTTTTGTTTTCTTCTTATGCCTTTTGCCATAATGGATCTTTAACCCTGGGTACCATCTTTGGTGATAACCTTGATGTAATTTCCTTTTGTTCTTGTTATCTTTAGGAAAGACCCTCACTTTCTCAGACTTTTGTGGAATTTCACTGCACACATAAAGATAACAAAGCTATTTCCCTATTGCCTTTTTTCTTTCTTGAAAGAAAATTCAGACTGATCATATTTTAAGAGTCCCATATTTTTACTTGAGCTTCTTTTGTTGCATAATCTCCTGTAGTTAGGTGGTTTCCAGGGCCATTAAGAAAAACAAAAATATTCTCTTGGAAATGAATCTTCTGGCTTATTGACTCCTGTAAACTTGAAATTCAGGAACCCAATAGCAAGAACATGGCATTGGCTAAATTGCCTGGTGCCTTATCTTAACAATAAAGTGTGCATATGGTACACACACCTTGACACAACACACATGCTAGCTGTGTATATAAGCATGCTCTGTGGCTGCTAAAGTCCCTGTCCCATGGCATAATACCCAGGGAAAATCCAAATAGGTCATTTCCCTTTCTGTGCAAGGGACAAAGAGTAGTTACAGCCATTCTGAAAGAATTGGATCTACTGGGAGATAGTTTGGAGCACTGCAAGGAGACATTATACAATTAGGAGTATCTTTTTCAATGCTTTTTACACCATTAAAACACCTGACTAAAGTGGTTGATGTAGCTTTTCATTATACATAGACCACAGATACCTCTGTGAAAGCAGTTTGGATTTGTTTTAAAATCTGTCTTTTAAAGTATGATAGATGTCTGATATTAAACTCATCCTTTCTTCGCTTGCACTGATTGCAGAGTTGAGACCTGCTCAAATGAAAATACTGAGCTACGTAAGAAGGTCGAAGTCCTGGAGAATACTAACAGGTAAAGTATGAGGGGTCTATGGCAAAACTGATATTACAGGTAAAGGTGAAAATGTGAAAGTTAAATGTTCACTTGAAACATTGTGTTGTGCTCAAGAAACTTTTTATATCTTTCTTTGGATTCTTCCACTCCCAAGAAAAAATGCTAAATGACAGATAACAGAAAAAATGGAACCCAACTCTCCAAGTTGTCTTTAGTCAGAGAAAGGCTGTCTTGCCAGGGGGCCTTGGGAAGAAAGGCCCTGACCTGGACTGTCACCTGGGGCTCTGGAGAGCAGAGAGCTCTGTTTTTCTTGACAACCAGATATCATTGCAATGATTGTGCACGTTTTTAATTGTGTGACACCCCAGAGCTGCTTTCATTTCAGGAAATGCAACTTCTTTGGACAGAGAGTCAACTTCTTGTTTCTTCRTTTCTGATAAGTGGGCTTATATGAGTTGGTGACTCAGTGGTGGCTTTCCAAGAGGACATGTAGCAGAATATGTTCAACAACTGAGCTTTTAATAGGGCATTAACTGACAGAGAGGAGTTTCAGTCATGATTGTGCTCAGTTATGCTGTGTGTGCACTCTAATGATAGCAGATTCCAATGAGTAAGTCCTAGATGAGCCCTCCGTAAACACCTTCACGGTCAGAGGCGTTTGTAGTGATGGTTGAGTAGTACTGGTGAACATGATGTTGGCACTGAAGGGGAGGAGGAGGCTGGATGTTGAAGATAACACCCATGATCATGAAAAATGGCCTTGGAGGGTGTCTGGCAGCCAGCACGTTGTTAGTTGGGTGTCGTGTGGTGTTTCTAATGTGGGGATCCAGCCTCCAGATCCAGGCTCTAATTTCACGGAGCCGGACCCTGTGGCCCTATAACGTGCAGGGAACGTCTCCCACACACTGCTCCTGCAGAAAGACATCTGCTGCTTGGTCAAAGACAGCTGAGCCATTCCTGGCCCTCCTTTGAGCATCTTCCTGCAGTGTTCTGCATGCAGGAACGAGGAACTGCTGTGGAGGTGTCTGGAGTAGGGCTGCAAGTCCCAGTGTCTGTCCTAGCAGGTGCTGGGACCGGCTGCTGTAGGACAGGGTGCAAGAGTCGTCACGGGAGCGGCTGTGGAGGAACCGCTCAGCGTCAAACCTCAAGAGCTGCCTTCCCCATTCAGGTTTGGCTAGAGCTGGCCAGGTTTTACTATCTCTATCATGAAAACAGCTCTGCTGGCATGTCCTTCCTTTTCAGCAGGACCTTTAGCATCTTCTCTGTTACTTCATAATCTTCCTTGTGTCGTGTCCAGTGCTCTTAGGTGGTAGTACCCCCGAATCCTTCATGGTCTGGGCACATGGCACGAGGTGCGTTGTTTTCCTCCCTGTACAGTAGCACTGATAGTGATGTGTCATCTCCTGCAGAGAAGCAGATGTTCCTGCCACCACACAGCAGTTCTTGTGTTTGGTGGCAAAGCTGCCTTAGCTGCTTAGATAAAAACTGTGTCTAAGAACTTCAAGGTTGCAAGTTAACCTACTCCAAAACTTGAAAAATGTCATGAAGTCTTGAATTACATAACACTATATTATATGCTTTTGTTCTTTTTTTTTTATCACCCACTCTCATTTATAGTATATTTGTACAATCTTTTGGACTTATCTAGAGAATGTTTTCAGGCCCTTGCTTAATGTACATCGTCCGCTTCCCACAACAAATTAAAAACGATCTATTTCCTCACTGGTATTTGCACAGAGTCCTGATGTGGCACCCAGAAACCATCCAGATCTTTCAGAACTTGTGTTCACAGCATCCCATAGCTGGCAGTTCTGCATCCTATTTGCAGCCAGGGATCAAAGCTTGAAGAAGTGAAGGTCGAAGTTATGCAGTGTTCGTTTTTTCTTGGGTGCCTAAATTTAACCATTTAGTACCTTATCTTTTCAAAGCACCTCGCACACTGTTATATAYGCAGACATGTTTAATACACTCAAAGCAGAGCCCCGGCTGACTTCCGTTGCAGTTTTGATGTTTAATGCATTAAAAATGAAGATATGATGGGAAATGCCATGTAAAATTAGGAATACAAACACTACAGCTGCTCTATCACTGTAAARCAAAGCAAAAACACAGAAGAAAACAAACAAAACAAAAATACCCTGAGAGGTGAAGACAGGTAACAGGAAAGTAACAGCTGTGGTTACATGTGAAAATGTYCTTGTCTTTAGTGTGGGCAAAGGACAATGTTTCCCCCCCAACCCTTGTTTGAAAATTGGGTTGTAGCTGCTCACCTAAGGTTCTTGCTCCTTTATGTGCACTTGGTCAGGATGGGGTTTTGTAGTTGCCTGAAGTTGTGAGGAATAAACGGGAAATTCCAAAATAGAGCACTCCTGAACAGCAGAATTTCCTTTTGGGGTGTACAAATGGTTTTCCTGAGCATGTCATTCTTCTATATATAGAATGCATTTTGTACGGATAGGTACCTAAGACTACAGGGAAAATCCTGCTTAAAATTCAAAATCTGCCTCTGAAGCCTGAAAGCACAAGAATTTCTCCTGGCCAAACCAAAAAAAAGCAAAGCATTCCTACATTATTCAGAGTAACATGAAAGATTTTAGCAGAATCCCCTAAGACGATGCCTTAGCCTGAAGCTCTGGATCAGAAAAATTCTCCTGTAAAATGTGCAAGTTTGGCCAAATAATTTGCACCCAGAAGCACCCGCCTTGTCATGGGTGCTTCTTACTCAGCAAGGCGGGCGGCTCGGGATCAAGATACAGGGGAGTTTTTAGCTCTTATTACTGTCAGTGGGTGACTGCAGCATTTTTGCCATCTTCTGTATTACAGTTCTAGCATATGTTCCCTCTCCTAATTTCTGTGACTCAGTCCCTTAACAGGAACCCATCCAGGTTCCTTTCTAGACATTTTTCTTTAGCAAAGCTGAAGTGTATAGTACATATAGKAGCATAGTGTATTAGTGCTTGCCTCGCACTTGCATCCTGTGGCTGCGGAGGAGCCAGGAGCTCGTTRCTTTGGGGGGCGCCTGCACCTGTGGGACACCGCTGTCCTGGAGAGCCTGCGCGGAAGGAGAAGGAGTAGGTAGGGAGTAGCYGGCACCAGGAGCTGGCCTGACTTGTCCCCGTCCCCAGGAAGGCCCAACCTTGGTCATGGGAGGCCTACGGGTTGGATGCATCCTCGGGTAGCAGTGGGCTGTGGAGCTGGGGGCCTTTGAGCTTAAAGGCRGTGTCAAAACACAGTTTTGTGCATGGTATATGAGAAACACTGTTGTTTTTATTTCTGTTAAGTTTGTATTTAAAAATATATTTATTGATGTCCACTTTCCTAGAGATGTGATAGAAGTAGCATCGAATCTGGTGTACAGTGCAGAGAAGTGTAAATATCATTTCCCAGGTGGGACAGTGCATGTGATTTTGTCAAATCTTTCTCAAGGAGTAAAGGATTTGGATTTCAGCTACAGTGAGAAATCTTGTTCCTAACTTCCAACTGCTCTCATATATATATATATATATATATATATATATATATATAAAACATATATATGAATAAATATATATATATATAATTATATATGTATAATTATATTAAGACTATATCACCAAGTAGATGTATTCTTTGAAAAACCTTGATCCACATAAACATTGGGCTTTTTCCCCCAGAAGCTTTCCAGTTTCCTTTCAATTATTGCTGACTTTTAAACATAACCACTGGGGCTTCCTCCCAGGCCCGGCAGTGACAGGTTTTCTTCTCCCTAATGAAAGTGTCAYTGGAAGCCGACCTGGCCTGGCCAGCACTTTGCTGGTGCAAGGAGCCCTTCTGCAGGTCCATACGTGGGTGCGCACGTGAAATTGGGACATCCGAGGGGATTTGCTGGCAGCGTGTGCAAGGGAGAGCAGGAGTTCTCACTCACTTCACAGCTTTCCTGTGAGGTGCCTCCGTTGGCAGGGCAGAGCGCGAAGGCGCCCTCGCACCCGCGCAGAGGTGACCCTTGATTGAATGTCCCTGGGCAGGGTGGCAGGGACACCGCGAGACGGGCCCCGGCGGCGCCAGCCCCTGCGCCCGCTGCCCCGCGCCGGCCTTTCTGCTCCCAGCGGGCAGCCAGAGGCTCCCAGCTTCCCCCCAAGCATCCTCGGCCTTCCTGCTGGTATCCAGATCCAGAGCATCTGGATGCAGCCCGCCCCTGTTCCCGAAAGGGCAGAACCGCCCCTTTCCCTCTTGTCTTAGCACGTCCTGTCCTTGGGAGACCCCAAAACACCGGCCTGAGCACGAGGAGGAGGAACGCACTGCCATGACCAAAGCTTTGGGGAGCCAGGCAGCGCTCGGGGCCCCTTCCTCCTCCTCCTGCAGAGCTATTTTGTGTTGAGCCCAGTGACTCAGGCCCCCAACGGGGGAACATTTAGGCTTCTATAATAGCCTAGAAATTGCACTGCTGAAAAGTCATTGCTGTGTAACGGAGCTGGTGGCACATGGTGGGAATGCTGCGTGTGGCTTGTTCTGTGCCAGAAAATCATATAGACACTGCGTGCAAGGCTGACTTTGCGAACCCCCAGCTAGGTAATCGGTGGAAAAAGGGATTGGGGAGAGATACAGGAAGGAGAAGGGAGTTGGAATGGTCTCATTTACGTGATGGAAAGCATCTTTACCTCTTAATTTGCTTGTGTTCTCTCCACCTGTGGATAAAGGACTGAGTTAGGTAAATCACTTCATTTTTTCATAGTGACCTGTGGAGTCCACCAGGCTCTCAGCACTGCGCAAGACATCTTTCCGTAATAAGCTGAGCAGAACGTGCTGGCCCAGATAAATGTGTGCCAGGCACGTGCCTTGTGCCCGTTGCGGAATGCATTCCTGCAGTCCTTGAGTTCATTAAACCCTAATTAGCAGGGATCATCGCCGATTAAAAAAGGGCTATAATAATAGGCAGATAAGTGTATATTGAGCTGTAAAGGCACCTCTGGGTCTGCCCTACAATTAGCTTTCAGCAAGTCCAGTCTTAAAATAATCCCTGTGTTTTGTGTGACGGGCCACCTTGCTGCCGCGGGCGGCCGAGTGGCTGCGTGGGGCCTGGGGCGGGTTGTGCTCTGCCCAGGCAGGACGGCCTGCAGGAGAAGGGCCAAGTGGCCGTCCTGATGGAGACTTGCACTGTATTTGACTGTGTCTTGGCAGGCGTTTGGGTTACTCCTCCTCTGTCAAAAAGCTTTTATCAAAGCAAAACTGTTGGGAAAGGACCGTGTCAGTCACTCTTTGGAGAACATTTCCCATTTCAGTGAGGCGCATCCTGAGTGTAGTGACTGCTGATGATGGGAAACATCCAGAAGGATGGAATAACTCTCTGGGTTCAGGCTCTCTGGGTCCAGAACTGCTGCCTCTGACCACAGCGGAGTTGCCGTTGCGGTTGGCACCTCGGGACAGTGTGGTCAGAGCGGCCACACCAAGCAGTTATTTTGCAAACTCTTGGAGTATTTCGCAAGCAGTAATGAAGTACTTCAGATAATAGATAAATTTATAGAAAATCAGGGCTGTGCTTATGTCTGTTTTTAAATTATTTTATTTGAAAAGAGCTGTCCGGTTGCCTGTACAGCAGGTTTTTAGAGAAAGGAGGTACGTGTGTAGCTGTGCGATCAGTTAAGCGTAGCTGCAAACCTGCCCTGCTCCTTTGGAAGTAATGCTAAAGCTCACGCTGAATTCATGGCATAGGACCAGGTTACGTAGGCACTAGTCCGCTGTACATATAGCAGTTCTGGTTGTCTGTATGTTTAATGGAATCTGTTTCTGGAAAAAAAAAATGTAAATACAGTCTTTAGTTATGAATAAGAAGCTTCAGAAATGACAGCTGAAGTAATTTTTCAGGGACATTAGTTGTGGAAAAAGATCTTTTTGAAAGATCTAGTGCTAACACATGTAAAAAAGCTTGTAAAATTAAAGCACATTGCTTCCTTCTAATTTCAAGGGAAGGTTTTTAATGAGCGGTTCCTCCTCATTAACGCCGCCGTGCTGGCGGGCACGCAGGCGGCAGCGGAAGAGCTGCGTGGGGAGCCTGGAGACGGGGCGCTGGGTGCTCACGCTGTGCCCTTGGCTCCGCAGGACGCTGCTGCAGCAGCTGCAGAGACTGCAGGCCGCCGTGGCCGGCAAGGTGACGCGCTCGTGCAAGGCGGCCAGCACCCAGACCGGGACCTGCCTCATGGTGAGTGCCCCCTCTCTGCCCCAGCGCCTGCTCTGCCCAGTCCTTCACTCCCAAATTCCCCGATTGCTTCTTGTTTTGGTTTTTTCTTGGTCCTTTGACAATTGACTTAGAGTTAGGTGAGAACGGTCTGCTGAAGATTAGTGCTTGTGGGAAGGCTTTACGTTGTGCAGGAGACTGGGCCCATGCTTTTGACTGGGTGGTTGGGCAGTGATCAAAGAAGAAATGCTGCTCCCCGGGACCTGTTGTGTCATTTCTTACAGTGCTGTGTGTGAGGAATGGTGCCCGAGGTTGTAAAATGACAGTAAGGGTGCCCTCTGATGCTCAGTTCTTTTGATACCCGTAAAAATAAACTTTATCATCCAAATAAAATTACGACTAAGGCAGTAAATCTACCTCTAGCCTATTTCAGTAACAGCAGTCAGAGTAAGAAAAGGATTAGAAGGCAAGTCTGCCCGCCACCAACTCAGGCAGCAAGTTCCCTTCATGCTAGAGCCATAAACTGAAGATGATTTCAAGGCCTACGCTGCCCTGCCAGGCTGCCAGCCTCCCTGGTTATGCCGCTTTGCAGCAACACTGGGGCCAACGGTAGAAATAACCCTGGAAATGCCCTCCTGTGTGTGTAACACACACGTGGTGGTTGTCTCTGCTTCAAGTTCAGGAGTAAATAAGGAAACAGGCCAAAAAGATTTGGAAAATAAAGCCCAGAACGGAAAGCTGCCCTTTAGAGCACCGAGTGGTGGTTGTGTCTGTGCCKCTGCTAAGAGACCCCGCAGGTGGTGACAGAGAGCGGGCCCAGGCGACAGTTTGGGGCGGCGCGGGGTGCCCCGCGCGCTCCTGCGGGGCTGACGGGGCTCCCTTTGCAGATGGTGGTGCTCTGCTTCGCCGTGGTGTTCGGCGGCGTCTCTCAGAGCTACGGGCCCTACCCGTCGGCCACCAAGCTGGCGCTGCCCCGGCAGCCGCCCTCGCCCGAGCCCTACACGGACGCCGTTGGTGAGTGCCGCACGGCAGCCCCGCTCCTGCTTGCTCGCCCCGCGGCCCTCCTTTCCCTCCCTGCTGCCCTGTGGTGGGAACCTCTGGGCTCCGGTTTGCTCCATAGCCTGAGTGGCTGGTGGCACCCACTGGGAGATGCCGAACCCTTGCCTCAGGGCTGGGGCTGGAGCAGCTGTGTCTCTGCTGTCACCCGCCCTTGTGGGTTGGTCCTGTCCCCTCCCTATCCCCTCCTGGCAGCCACCATAGAGGCAGGCAGAGCCTTGCCCCGCACGGCTGCCTGGTACTTCTGCTTAAATCATCTTTGTTTCCGTTTTGGAGCTAAAGCTAAAGGTCTGTGCGAGACAGCAGGACAGTTGTATTTCTGAACAGCAGCAGATGTTGGTGCTGTCAGAGAGCACAACCGGTGCCTGTTGGTGTTTCCTTCGCAAGTGCCAACGGAAGGTCCAAGGACTGAGTGGGAGACTGATAATGCGGCGTACTGGTTAAAGGCCGTGTGCCTGCAGTGCTGCCCACATGATTGTTCCTTCTGCTCTTGCTCCCTGGACGGCTCCGAGCTGTTTGACAACTGTCAGCACCCACCGTTCTGCAGCATCTTCCCCTAGCTAACAAGTGGTCACTTAATCACTATGGAAAGACCTTTGGCAGCTCTAGTTCTGCTCTGGTGCTTCCCAGTTGCTGACGTGCCCAGGGATGTTCTCTCCGAGCTGCCTGTTTCTCACCTCTCTCTCGTCCCCTCTCTACATATGCAGTGAGGTCGAGGAGTCTGCTGCTTTACGAGGAGCCTCCCCCGCTGGAGGAGCCGTCCAGCCCCATGGCCCTGGCCGAGCGCGGCGACCGGGGCGCAGACGCCGCCAAGTTGGCAGCGCTGGCCCTGGAAGGCGGCCCGGGCGGCCAGCGGGACGATATCATGCAGGTGACCATCGCCAACGAGACGAGGCTGGAGAAGGCCCTGCTGCTGGGCCTGCAGCCGCGCAGGTGAGGGCAGGGCCCTGCCTGGGGCTCTGCGGCGCTGGGCGCCGGGCAGCGTGAGGGCGGTCGCTGTCTGGAGAGCTCGCGGGCAAAACTGTTGCCGCTGCTGTTGGGTCGGCGGTTGCGAGGATGGTTTGTTAGTAACGTTGCCACCAAACGCTGCCTCTGTCAGGAGCCGAGCGCTGTGACCTGTTTGTTCTGCCTCCCCACGTGGTTAGGCACTACCTGCGTGCCCCGCYAGGGCTGAGCTTTGGTAGGCTGGGTGCAGGTGTGAGGCTGTGACTCGCTGGGCTGCCTGTGAGGGTACGCGGTGAAGAGCTGGAGCTTCTCTCAGCAGCGATCTTACCTAGAGCATAGAGCACTCGGGCTTAACAGCCCTGTAAGGTTACCTGGGCCACTTAGCATAGAGTTCTTCATAATTTGTTTATTTCTTTATGTATTTTAGCCTGAGTGTTAAGTTTGGCGCCTCAGCAAAGTGCACTTTTTCCTCCACTGCTCCTTTGCCTGTCTCGGCACTGTTCAGTTGGCCCAGGCCTTGGTCTCTGCTAAAAAAACAGTAGCAAATGCACCAGAGAGTGAAGAGAGGCATTTTGTTTGCAGCCATGCTCCTCTGAGGTCCTGGCTGAGCCATAATGCCCCAAACTTCTCTCCCGAGGAGCTGTGCCAAAGTTAAACCTGAGGCCAAGGAGATGACTAATTCAATATATTACCATGCTGCAACTGACAAGTATCTGGCATAAGCAGCACCTTATTAGCATTAGCCAGTGCAAGCAGGATGTGCACTTCTAACAAATGACTAACTACTGGTGTTAACCTCCGTCTTTTCTTTCTTTTTTTTGTTTCCTCCAGGGTCAGCTCAGAACTAGAAGGAAATGAAACACTGAAGATAATTGAAATAGACAGAAGAGTCAATGCCACCTCTTAAAAAAACAAGGCCTTTTTTTCTTCACTTCCTCCTTTCCCCCGATATTTTCTACCAAAGGTGCCCCCTTCCCCACCCCGACCTGTCACCCTCAGTGAACCAAAGCACAAACGAGAGGGAGTCACTGCCTGGCGCGCTGTGACTGCGGCTGGGGTCGCTTGTCCTTGCAACCCCTTCCCTCACCTAACACACGAGCCCTGTCGCTTTTATTCCTTTCCTGTCGGATGCTGCAAGGACAGGGATGAGTTTTGGTGGCAGATGATGCCAGCGGAGCGCTGATGCTTGAGCTGTGTGTGTGCTGGCACGTATGCCAACCTGCGCGCAAAGACACGCTGCCGAGGAGCGGGGTGTGCCAAGGCAGCGGGAGCGCGTGGGTGAGGGGTTATTTGGGAAGAAGGAGTGAAGAGGAAGGGGAGGTGAGGCGCGACGCTGCTCAGAACCAGGCCTTTGCACTTGAAGCCTTTGAGGGGAGCGAGAGTCACGTTCACAGGCTGCCTTTGGCGGCACAAGGATCAACAGCACCGGCAGGGGAGGGATGCGCGGTGAGTGCTGGATGCTCCTCTCCCAACTCTTTCTCTTTTCCCCCTTCAGCCCTTCATCCTTAAGCGGGTTGTTAGGTTTCTCCTTGGGTTGGAAGCAGTCCTGGRAGGTTTCCCTACTGCTGCTCCATCCCTGTGGAATTCAAGCAAAGATCAGTCACTGTCTTGTCACACTTTCCCTGTGTGGGAGAATTACACCAGTTTAAGCAAATCTGTTTAGAAAGCAGGTTTTGTTACGGTTATGCAATGGTTTGGGTGGGTGTCCTTTAGTCTGCTTCAGGCTAATCTGTTTTGCTTAAATCAATTCCTTGCCAACATGAACGAAATCAATGTAAGACTTAAAATAGAAGTGCCTCGTGAGAAGACTGTATGGGTTTAATTTATTGGCTTCTAGATGCATCGAAGGAATTTCTTATGTAGACCTGGTGTCAGGTTGTTCTGTGTTCCCCTTTCCCCACCACCCTCCTGTCACTGTTGTAAATAGTATTTATTAGCCTTGCAAGATTTCRTTCAAGCAGCTGCAGTGAGAATAGAGCTTTCCTAACCCTGCAAGTGATCCAGGCAACTCTGAGGCTGGWTATGCACAAATCAGTGACCACCTCTCCCTCCCCAAGCTTGAATTCCCCAAGTAAATGTTAGAAAGTCATGAGTCTCTTCTTGCTGTTGTCTCCTTTTCCAGAGACACAAAGTCTTAGAAGAGCCACGTAGCCAAAATGATAGGGGGATGTGTAGCCCTGGCAAGGTGCTAGGTGCCCAACACCTTTATGGCAAGACAGTCCCTGGCCTGAGAAGCTGAGTAGGCAGCAGACAAGACAGAAGAGGGATGGGAGAGGCACATGGGAGATGGAGTGACTGGCCCCAGATCCGTGGAGAAGCCAAAAGTGATATTCAAGTGTGATCCTGGTCCAGCACTTCTTACTCTCTGACCTTTCTTGCAGGCACCGTTTGGGCCCTTGTAGCTGGTGCCTGTGGGGTTTCTGCCTTTCTCTGTACCCTGCCATGCCTTGTCCCAGCCCTGCCTCTGCTCACAGTCAAACCTGCCCAGCATTTCCAGCAGGTTTTATCTCATTGCACCAGGAGGGCACTCAGGCTCCCACAGTGAATGGGTTTCATGTGAAAACCCTAATTCCACAGGCTAATGTGGCCGCTTTGAAGTTTACCAGAAAAATGCAATTAAAAATCTTTTTGACTTGCCTTGCTTTCTTTTCATGATAAGGGAAAAACTAATCTAGCCTTACAAGTTGTTTTTTACGTGTACAGTAGATATTTCCTGCAGGTATTCCATTTTGTAAAATACTAGATTTGTATTTTATTATAGCTACTGGCACCCTCGCTCCCCTCTTAATCTTTATTCTTCCTTCTTACATTTCCTTCCTTTGCTGTCCTGTTTGTTGCCTCTGTGATCTGAGTCAAAACTGAGTGAAATGAATGGAAAGAGTCCAGTAGATTAGTCGGCTTTGGATCAGTCCCCACGGTGCTGTTTTAGGAAGGTCTTTCACACCAGTGAGTGGAGCATGTGCCTGATTCCAGGAGCTACTAAGGAGTTTTGGTGTGCAGACCTGCCCGTACAGTTATACAAGTGCCTTATTATTTTCCCGTTGGGAGCGATGAGAGGAGAAATGCCACTGGAGGCCGTCTCACAAGAGTTCCCTTCTCAGCATGGGTCGGTGTCCTCCCTTGGTTTCTCTCTTCTGCAGTGGCTCTGTCAGATCCTCTGCATCGTTTCATTTTTTTTTTTAAGCATTATTTATTAGTGATGAACACAAGTTGCTGTGGTGGAGCGTGAGACACAGGGGATGGCAACGTTGTTTGACCACATGAGGTCAGCAAAGGCAAAGGAGAAAGCCGGGACTGACCCTCTGGCTACCATACAGCAAGCCAGTGTGAGTGGCCATGGCCATGAAATTAAACAGTCTTTTTTTGTTTYGTTTTTGTTTTTCAGAGCACCCAGTTTGTTGTCTCTGGGTAGAACTGCGCAGGCTTCAGACTTTTGCAAAGAGGCCCAGGTTGCCAGGCTCAAGCCAGCCCTCGCTGCCCTGCTGCTTGTGCTGTGCAGAAGCAGGAGGCCAGTCCCCCTGGGCTCGTGTTCCTTACCCAGTTTAGCYTGTAACTGGTTCATGTCCCATTCCTTGCAGAGCTCCAACTAACCCCATGGTGTTAAAAACACAYCTGAATTACTTCCCAGCGCTCTTAAGGACAGGCAATATGACCTCCCCGAAGCAAAACAAAAACCCACCTCCCTCCCTGAACCCCACTGCTGTAGTCGCCATCAAAGCTCTGCCTTTTCTTTGCTTCATTTGGACATACGAGTTGAGCTCTGACTGGGGAAGCCCTATTTTCAGCTGAGGCATTTCACATTGGCTGCTGTCTGGGTCAGCCTCTGAATGAAGTCATTTGAACCTGTATGGCAATGTTGATATTTTTGTTACTGTTTGCTAATCTAGTCCTATAATCTTATTTTTTCTCATCCTTTATATTATTTTATGGTACTCTTTTGGGATTGCTTGCTGTAGCATACACAAGGTTTGGGGGTCTATTTTTATTAAATATAATTTCTTCATAATATGGAATTGCCTGTTTTATTATGGTACGTTTGCGATCATCTTTCTTTAGGGCTTTTAACAGAACTGGCTTCTCTTTGACTCTAGAGCCAAAGTATCTCCAGTTTGCCTATCCCCAGGTYTTTATGCAACGAGGACCTCTTGGTCTCCCAGATGGAAGAGGCGGGACCCGGGGGTGTCGGAAGCACTGGGCCCACGTGGGACGGCAGCGCCGGGGGCTCCATGCTCAGTGTGCAGGAGGAGCAGGGAGAGGCATCATGTAAGGATCCTGCATTAAGTRCTCTTAAATAGCTCGGCTGGGTTGCTCCAGGTCTCAGCCTTCCGCCTTGGAGCTTTTCCAGTGGTCGGGAACTCGGTGCTGTAGCGTGGCCTTGATGTACACGCASGATAGGAAAAGGCCTCCCGCGCTGCTTAAGTGCCGCCTCTGCTACAGGACTTAAATGATCCGTAATGTCTTCAGCTCTTCCCAGGTGCTGGGCCCCAGCATGGTTTTTCGCTGCTGGTGAACTTTGTTTCCCATTCAGACGTGTCTAGATCTTTTAGCTCTTTGCTTCTAGAGAGATAAGCTACAAAGGAACATAGGGCATTATTTTTTATATATATATGTATTTAAAAGTATCAAGCACAGGGCACATGGCAATTCTAACCTTGTTACCAGTGTGTAGATAATGTATTTTTGCTAGGCTATTTATAGTTCTTTGCTGCACTTCTCTTGTTTCATCCGTACCATTCCGTATTTTGGGGCTTCTCCCTCTCTGTACCCTGTCATGCCCTTGCCCGAGCTCTGCCTCTGCTCACAGTTTGTCTGAGASTGATAGTGGATTAAGCTGAAGTTCTTAGGCGGGATCCCAGCTGATCCAGTGCAGCAGCTTCTCACTTGCAGCTTTCYGAGGCTGTTGGTCTCATTTATCCTGGCAGGCGACCTCTTCCATATCTCTCTGTATAACGATGTAGCATAACACAAGCTTAGCTCAATTTCTCTAATGTGGAGCTGAAAATGAATTAAAAGWTTTTTTAGTCATCTTTTCCTCATGCTAAAAGAACAACAGCCCTCCACCCCAYTCCTTACCACCCGACTCCTTACCACCCCAAGAAGTGAATTCTGTCTGGACACATTTAGCATGTAGGTCAAATAAGTGATACTAATTCCCCGTTSGGAGGGATTTCCACAGAGTATACGGGCTCTAGATTTTAGCTAATGCCAAGAGGCCATCGCACAAAGCCCACGCAGCTAAGAACAGAAGCATATGGAGTATTTTTATACTCTTGGTGACTAAAATATTCCTTTCTCAAGTCACTAATTAGAAAGGGAACATTTTGTATTTTGAAGGTGAAATGGTAGGTCAGTACTTGCAAACTACAGAAGTTATATTAGCCTATATATGTAGCACAGGGCTATGATGTTGCTGCTTTGCACGATAGCGTTAAGGAGAAATGCCTTTGGGGGCTGTAAAGATGAACTGCCTTATATAATGATGCATTTACAAATAAGACAGAAGGATACGGCCCGAATATTGTAGCTTTCTTATGTCTGTGACGTGGCCGTACTAGGGACTGCACCCTCAGCATCTCCTTGCTTGTACTGAGTTGCTTCGGCACAGAGCAGGGCTGGGAGATCCTGGGCCTGAAGGTGGAATTTCCATTTGTGTTTCTGGTTTTCGTGTTGAACCTTCTCTGCTTTACTGAGCTSTAGACCTGAGCTGCCTCCCTGCTTGGAAGAGGGTGCATCTTCCAGGAAACTCGCTTGCCGTGTTGTTGGTTGAATGGTGGTGAAGTTACTCCCAGTCATCTCAGAATAACCATAAAGCTCGTGCCCGTACTTTTCCTCTAAGAGCTTGAACTGAATAGGTGAGAAGAAAACATGGGAGAGCTGGATTTTATAGATGCCCCTTACAGAAAAGATGAAAGGAGAGGCAGAAGAAGGTACTCTTGAAAGGACAGAGAGACTTCTCAGTTTGTCATTTCTTAAATTGGGAATAATGGTCTTTTTCATTAATTCCGCCCCCCTGTTTTTATCTTCTTTTTCCCCTTGCTCTTTAACACTATGCAGTCCTTTCTATGTAAAATGAACGTCTGTCTGACTTTTATAATATACTCCATTCTCCTTTCCAACATAGATAAAGAAAAGAATATTCAATCTTTAGCAGCCCATAATAGGGGAGTGGAGGGAAGAGAGGGAAAAGCAGAGGCAGGTAGTCAAACGCTTTCATAGCAGATTCTCCTGCAGTGCTGGTGTAGTCCTGGCATCCTGCTTTCTTCATGGGAACAGTTAGTGGGAACGAGCATGAGTGTGTGTGTGAGCCTGTGTGTGTGTGTGCATGTGGTGAGCAATTAAAAAAGAATACGTGGGAGACGTGTGTTGGTAATGTAGTGGGTGTCACTGAACGAGGGCACCTGCCCGAACAGGCAGCGCCCGCGTCCCCGCTGGGGCTTCCCCTCTGGAAGCGGCTGGCGTTCCAGGCCGCCAAGGGCAGGGCTGCCCGAGGGCCGCCCGGCGGCAGCTCAGCGGGAGGCTGCTGCGCCCGCTCTGTTGGGCTGCGCCTAGGCTGCCTGGCCTCTCTGTACAGCAGCTCTGTCCTGCTGCAGGAATTCAGCAGGCTCTGATGTGTCCAGCCTTCAGCTCTCGTCTTTGGGTAGTGGAATTCCAGCTCTGAATGCTTTCTGTTTTAATGCTCTAGTCTTGAAGGGAGTGACAGTTCAAGGAAGGCCGTTTGCCATGGTGGTCTTCAGCTAGAGGAGCAAAGGGACCCCCTTCCCATGGGAGCGCGACCGCTGCAGCCTCCTTGTGGGCACAGGGCGGYGCAGGGCAGCGGCGTCGCTTCACCTTTGGAGGCCCACATGCCGAGGGAAGAGTCCGGGATGTGCTGAGCCTTCCAAAGGGCAAGCAACCTGGCATTGTGTGCTTGAATCTGTTTCCAGGGCCGGAAAACAGGGCCTGGGCCATCAGAAACAACCCCCTGTGGTTCTGAYCGACTCGGTGACACCTCTAAAGCAATTCAGCTGAGCTCCCTCTCCTCTCTTTTTCTCTTTCCCCTCCCTCATACTGATGGAGTATGGGTTTGTGCAAGTGACACTGAATGGCACAAAACCAGAAGCCCCTCAGTTCCTCAGTAAACTGCATTGGAGCCTCTTCTGACTGCAGATATTTCCATTCCTTTGCAAAACGTCTGTTTAGTTCCATGTGCGCGTGTCAGCAGACASGCTGGTTTTGTACACGCACTGCTCATCTGGATGTGTTCCCCCGATCGCTCACACTGCAAACATGTCCGTTGGGTGTAAAGAAATTCATATTTTTCCTTTTAAATTATCTGCTTGATTCTACAGGAGAAGAGACTACCTGCTTTTGTAGCCTGAATATCTATGTAGTTAAGTATATTRTGCTCTTCATTTCTTGCAAATAAATATTTTCTGTAGAAAAAAAAAAAAAAAAAGAGTACGGTTTGCTTGCTGTCCTATTGGTTGGGAAAGATTCAGTCACAAGCGTGGTGCTTGGCCCACCAGAGSCCTTAGTTCAGCCTGAGGCTGGACCCTGCAGGCTCCAAGTGATGGTGGGGGGTTTGCATAGGGGGCTGCTCCGTTTTGCAGTCACTGGACTGCAAAATCAGTCAGTAATGGGTGGAAATTGGGCAAAGGCTAATGGCCCTTACTGCCCATAGTGGTGCTGGAGTGGGACTGCAGCATGGCCGTGTTAACATCACACTCTTTTAAGTGGGATGTGAGCGGGCTGATGCTCTAAGGGGCACTAGCTTCAGCCCAGTGACAGAGTCTGCCAGAGCAAGGGCTTAATTTGAGGGATCCTGGAGCCTTCTGGAAGGTCGATTCTTTTACTGCCCTGGCTTCCCCAGGCAGCTGTGTCTTGCTTCAGCTCCAGCGCTTGCTGAAGATCTCTCTGCTCTGCCCTTAGGGGCCGGGAGCTCTGCTGGCCCCAGCTCCTTCCTTGGCCCTGACTCGTCCCATGTGGGAGCCGTCACCAGCAGTTCCCAAGGCGGCCGCTTTTCCCGCSCGAGCAGTTGATGTTTGCCCCATGGTGCAGCAGTCGCATCCAGCCGGGGGTCAGCGCTGACCTTTGCTCATCCGCGCAGATGCAGGGATAGCAAATGCTTCGGTTCTTCTACTTTAGGGACTCTGCAGCTTTGCTGACCCCCAGGGAACATGGTAAGTGATAGCACARTGTAGATGTGAGAAATACCATTTGCAGAGCTGGTTTTAAAAGGGCATAGTCTGTTTGTTTATTCCGATTTTTCTTGATGAGATGCGTTTTTTTCTTTTCTACCAAGGAAGGAACCTCTCGTATGAGATCCCTGTATCTGTGCTTTGGCAACGAAGAGCTTATCCCCTGCAGGAAATGCCAGCAATGGAAGTGACAGATCCCGTTTTATTGGTCTGAAAACAGGAACGTGACAACCGGCTTCCTTTCTGAGGCACCCTGAAGAAGGGCTCTTCAGAGGCCACGTGCCACGAGGCCTAGYACATGCCACGCTGCCCTGGTGGCCGCTGCGGGTTTCCAGAAGGGTCTTGCTTTGGGGCCAAAGAGGCTGAAGTGGCACAGGAAAGAGGCAATGACACCATAAATAAAAGCTCTCCTCTGAGTTCTGGGCTCACAGTTTTAGCTCAGGCCCTGTGTTTGCTACTGGCTGCCCCAAGAACAGAGAACTGGCACAAGGGCTTATTTAGGTCTGTCCCACCTCTGACATGCAGGCACATGCAGCGCTGCAGCACAGCAAGTGTCCCGGGCAGCACAAGGGCCTGCGGCCAAACTCCTTTCGCCAAGGCTCATGACTAAGCAGCTCCTTCATGCAAAGTGTGTCTTAATGCCTGAAGGAAGAGGCCACTGGGGCTCTCCCTGGAAGGCCACGTGAGAAGGGCTTCACCTTGTCCTTACAGCTCTGCACCAGGGTCACTTGCTCTGCTCTCCTCCCAGCCACGGTTGTTGCATCCTCAGCCTTTCCAGCACTTTCCAGCTGCCCTTTGTTGTCTGCCCTGCCAGTTTCTCTTGCCGGAGCTCTTGAACCAGGACACTTGTAGGTAGCACCAAGCCATACGTAACTTTTGGAGAGGGAAATTGCCATACCGTGACTGGAGAGGTCACCCACAGCTTCGTGTTAGCTGAGCTCAGTGCCTTTGAGAATATGAAACACCAACTGGTGGTTAATGGTTAAGACTCTCATCAGGTCTCAGCATCACCCCTAAAGCATCATACATACTGCTGGCGATGCAGCGAGGCGCGTGTGATTCAAGAAGAAAACCCACCTATGCTGGGGCAATGCTGCGTGATGAGCTGTCGAGCTCCCCACCTCTCGCCCTGCAGTACTTGCTGTTCGCTGGACAGCCTGGTAGTGCTTGGGCTTACGGCCGAGTCCGCACGCTCTTCCTCCGGCCGCTTCCTGCCCTTATCGCGTGTCCCAACACAGCTCGCAGGGYCTCTCCCAGCACTGGGCAGCGGGACACAGGACTTGCACCTATTCTGCAACGGCACTGGCTCCACCAGTGACTCCAGATGTTTCAAGGTAGGTTCTCTAGCACCCTTTTTCTATTTTCTGTCTGTTGTTTGGTTTTGGTTGCTTAGAACTACAGACCTGATCAGCTTGAATTTTAGTAGCAGGCAGCCAAAGCTTAGAGCTTTGCTGTGAATAAGATCATTCTACACTAGCCATGTCCAGCTGGGAGAGAGCCCTGGACAGTGATGGAGGAAACTGGCTTCTGGGTCTAGTCCTGCTCACTTTGGTTCTCTCTTCTCCACGGTTCAGATCCCTGCTCTGCAAAATGAGGCCAGTGATAACTTCCCTCAGCTATATAAAGCTGCTGGTATCCACCAAGGAAGGGTGATCTCTCAGGAGCTGGTTATTAAAAACAAAGCCATGTTTCATATCATGCTAAATAAATAATGCTTGTGTGTCTTGTTCCTCTCCAGTTTGTACTTCAAAATATTAAATTTACTCTAGGATCAGCTTCATTTTTCAGTTTCTCGGTGCCGTCYTGTGTGAGCTTCAAGGAGTCCACACATGAGCCATTTTTTAATGAATGGGTTGTTTACATCTTTGTAATTGTATTTGTCTTAAATCTATTTACATATGAGTTCTACGTGTTGCTATAAAACTGTGCTGTTACGAATGGCTAGAGCTTATTTTTGCTGTGATATAACTGAGCAAAAGACAACCATTAGAGAACAATACCAAGTTTGCTTGGCTGTTTCAATTCCATTTGCCAAAGTGATGTTCAGCAGCCAGATAGCCTTTTATAAGACCCTTTCTTTGTAAGTGCTCGGACTGCACCCATGGGATCCATGAAGAGGCAGCACCCAGAATCAGGGAATAGGCACTGGTGCATGTTTTTCCCTGAGCCTTCTGTGCCGTCTTGAGCGTGAATCTTGTATGAGCCTCACGTAATCTGGACTATTTAAAATGGACTAACTCCTCAGTGCCTAAACGAGCACACCAAACCAGTAAGGCTGCCTTGCCTCCTCCTCCCCCTTCCATTTTTTAATATACTGACCTCTTGACCTCTTTATCAATAAGAAAAGGATTTTCAGTCCTCCCATTCTAGGTACATGTCGTTGCCTGTGTGCACTCTGCAGGGGACTGAAGTGCCATGTGAGAGGCGGCATGAGCCTCCTCTTGGCTTTCCCACACAAGGCTGAATTCCTGAGCATTTCCCATGTCGCTCCCTGCATCCATCCTGCTACTGTGGCTGGAAGCTTCCATGCAGAGCAGGCGCTTGTCACCTGCCAGGGCTTGTCAGCGCTCCTGAGGGAGCAGAGGAGCCAGCGCAGAGGGACCCAAGGTGCTCCTGCTATCCCATCACAAGTATCCCTTCCTTGGTGCCAGCTTGGGAAATGAGATACTGGTCTTGGGGATTCAGACTTTGACCAGTGCAGACTCCCCAGAACTGGCAAAACTTGCTAAGAATCCATTCTGGGGCAGATCCTTTTCCTCCTGATCCAGCCGTAAGGCTGCTGTAACATCTGTGGCCAAAGCAGATGCTCTAAGGAAGCTCCTGTTGTTGCTGCCCCCCTTCTAAGAGCAGAGGCACTGCCAGAGAGGGGCTTTATGCTACCACTCCTCATCCTCAAAGCTGGGTATTAGAAGAGGGCAGAACTTAGTGATATTCCTATCTCAAAATGATTTAGTGCCTTTTTGCAAGAATTGTCGCCCACTCTTAAGTGGGGTGCTCTGACTTGCAGTATTGGCTGCTAAAGCCTCTGGAAGTTCATCTGAGGACTTTCCTCAGTGCTGAGGTCTCAGCTCCGCCTGGTCAAGGTCTTGGTGGCCTCAGTGGAGCCCATGCTGGTTGGCAGCTCTCCTTCCCAGAGCAGCATCAGGACATTTTATTAACAGTGCTGCAGTGAGAAAGAGCTTTCGTTTTGCTGCTAGAAAGGAATGTATTACCTTGCTTAATTATGTTTTCTTCATTGTTCTTCAGGAGATAATTTATACACATACTGTGGGATGCACGTGTGCATGTGGATAATACATGCATCCTATATGCATACAGAGGGAAAATCGCTTTGAAAACTAGTGAAACTTTAAAAATGCTTTAGCTGTAGCAAAAAGATAGGCTTTTCATCAACTTTCTCTTCTGCCAGCAAGGGATAGTAAAAACACTGTTCGGCTGAGTCTGAGAGCCAAAGTCAGGGTAGAAGACATGTGTGTGATGTATGCTAAGCACAGGCAGGCTGGAGCTWTCTACATGGCGGCAGTAGGAGTGAAAGTCAGGTGTAAGGAACCTACAGGCTGTCTTCAGCCTGCTCCGTGCCCAAGGGAGCACAGGGCAATGCATATTTGCTTCACTGGTTCACTTCTCATTACACCCCTGGTTAGTTAATGCCATTGCCAAGGGATCACAGGAAGGTGAAAGGCCAGTCAGGAAGGTCCGTGGTGGTGGTGCTGAAATCGACCCCTGCAGGGTTTGCTCTGCATAGCAGCACTGCTCGTGTTCCTCCCCCTTMTTTTCTTGCAGCTTCCTTCTTTGGATCACATTGTCTTGGACTAGCTGTCAGTGGAGGAAATCTAGCAAGGGAAGAGAATTCCTGCTGTAATTCCTGGGAGATGTCCCAGACCACGGCCTCCTCTGTACTTGACGTAATCTCACTGCCACCCTAGCTCGTGTGTTTGAGTGGCCCCACGCCRATGGCTCCCTTGGAAAGTCTCTGTTTCTCCCCATGAGCAAACGGGAGACAGAGGAAACTAGGCTGAAGGACAGATTACTTAACTAAGAGGCACTGTGAAGTCTATGCCAGATCCTAACTCCTTGCAGTTGGCTGTTTTCTTTCTGAGCGCGCTAAATAGACATAGCCCGAGGGTGAAAAAAAAAATTAAGAAGAGATTAATACGTAACCAAGAAGGCTGCACGAGATCTAGACATCATCTGACACTCTTGAGCGCTCGACTGCTCACTTTGAAGGGCATTTGGAACTCGGCGCTGGAGGAGATTAAAGCCAAGCTCAAGGGAGGGTGATGAGCCCAGYGCAACGCAGAGGCTTCAAGGGGCGCCAGCACCGTGACCTTCTCCTCGCAGGGAAGGAGYTTGAAAGGCACCGCTGAGGGGAAGGAGCCCCGCGCAGCCCCTGCGAGGGCAGCCGGGCCCCGTCCCCACAGCGGGGCTCGGGGCAGGTGCCCTGAGCGCGGCGCCCCCGCGCGGGCCACCCAACGGCCGCCCCAACGGCCGCCCCAACGGCCGCTCCAACGGTCGCCCCAACGG